TTTCATTTTTGCACACGCCCCATGTGGAAATCAACTTGTATGTTGACAATGGTAAGCGTGCTAAAATAAAATTATCTATCTATCTATTTCAAAAGACTTCTTTTTGCCAGATCGAAGCAAGACAAAGCAGTTGAAAAGGAAACAGTGCTGCCAGATGAAATTTAAATAATTTCATGTCGGCATGTTCAAAAGTTCAAATATTATCCACCAATGTTCACAAATCGACAAAAATTTCATAGTCTGCACCAAATGAATGAAATAAGCTTAGTCAAATGTAAAATTATAATGATTACCATTGCACATTTGTACAAAATAACAAAAAAAAAACAATGAAAAACAATTATTTAGTTCGATTTAGATTTGTCGCTTGAGTCAGAGTCTTGAGCATAAAGAATGTCGGTTGTCATACGACTTAAAGCTTTGGTCGAAGAAGAATATTTGACACAGCCTCCTGACTCTTTCACTCCTTGCTTAACTTTTAGAATACTGCAGACTGACTTTGTGTTCAACCTATTTCTTCCTTTAGTTTTGATTGCATTCACAGAAGAAAAAATTCTGCTCACATCAACATTGAAGAATGAATTATGCTTTGTCTCGAATCTCTAAACCAGTGTATACTCATTGTAAACAATCTTGTTCTTTATAACTGATAAGTTCATAAAAAGTTTTTAATTTTTAATAAAAGTTCATGAATTGTTCACGAAATTCTTTCTATTCACAAAAATTCAAAATAAAAATGAAAAGTTCATAAATCTATGAACTTTGTTCACAATGTGGCAAAACACTGAAAGGAAGCTCTTGGGGGAGCTAGGGAACACAAAGGGTTATCACTCATCGAGAAAATTATTCCTCTAATCACATTCCCCATTACTCACATTTACTCCTCATTTGTAATGGATGCTTCTTGAGAAACCACTAGCATATTCCTAGTTACTCCAAAGTGCACCTTAATTACCTCCTATGCTCTTGTACCTAGTAACCATGAGAACAAAGATCAAATAAATAAATTTTTAGAAAATTTTGCGTTTGTTTCTAACATTTGGTTTATTTGGGGGGAGAAATTTCAATAATATTTTAATAGCAACCGCAATTTTCTTCGTAATGTTCACAAGCAGTGCCAAACGCAAAACGCCGCTTGAACGTAAGGATATATACAGTTTGAGGACATTACCGACTAGAGGATCATTCGTCTAACGTCGTAACCACTACTAAGACCACCACTAAGACTTTCAGCCAAAGTCTTATAGAAGATCGAACAGGTTTGAAATGTTGCTCGCTTGAGCTTGTGCGCTTAATGATGTTTCTTACTGTTTTAATGGAAGTTTGTGACCTACCCGCCGAGAAGTCCAGCAAATGCGTTTATTCATTTCAACTTCATTTTATGCATGTATCGATAATGCTGGCAGTTGGAAGTCGTCGAGTCGAAAGGCAGTTGGAGGATCAAAATGCTGGTATCCTAATGGATTTTGATGTCGAGCAATGGCGCAAAGACTGGAAGAAAAGAGTCGCTCTTCCAACAACAGCAAAATCAACTACACACAACAGTTTTTACTGTCTTGAGGGGATTCATATATTTTTCTTAACTAATGATCTTCGAAGACCAAGGTTCTTTCTACAGAGTTCTTGCATTAGGAACTTTGCTCGTAGAACGAAAGGCGATGCAAAGCCGAACGGATCATATACCGAACTGATAATAGCCAATATCTCTCTTGTAGTAGGCGGTTTGTCCTTCAGCTGAATCCGAAATACGAATTCATCACGGCTAATGTTCCACAGAACGCCTAGCGCTCTTTTGATAGATACCTTGTCAAGGCAAAGATCCCTAACTGATTCTGCTCGTTCGATATCCGGCATACCACCACCGTCGCTGAATTTGAAACGAAATCCACTTTTGTTAAACGAAATCCACCCTTGGCAAGCAGTTTTCGAAGATCACTGGCTAATGTTATTGCCTTATCTTCATCTTTTACAGATTTAAGGCAATGAACAACGTAGAAGTTACGTTTGACTGTATCTGTAACTATGTTTTCAAATTTGTTTGTGTTATCGTCTGCAGTGTTGGGCAGAGCAAAATTGGAGCAACTTGGCGAAGAGGTCACTCCAAACAAATGAACCGTCATTTGAAATTCTTCGGGTTCTAAGCCCAAGTCATTCTGTGGCCACCATAAGAAGCTCAGGGCATTGCAATCTTCATGATGAACATATACTAGATAGAATATACATTCAATGTCGGCCATTAGGGCTATGGGCTCCCATTTAAATCGAGTCAGAACACCGAAAAAATTATTCGTCAAGTGCGGTCCCTGTAGTAGTTGGTCATTGAGGGAAGTTCCAGACGGTAGACCGCAGCACAATTGAACACAACGCAAAGTTTGTCTGGTTTGTTCGAACTAAAGACTGGGTGATGAGGAAGGTACCATATTGCTTCATGGAACTTATTTAATGAATCAGCAGAGACCTTTCGTGCAAACTGTTTCTCAAACAGGTTGTCCATGAATTTAGCATACTTCAAGAATAGTTTAGGGACCTTCAACAGCCTTTTCTTCAAAGGAGTTAAACGATGTTCAGCCAAAGGTCGATTATTTGGAAATCAAGGAGGAAAAGATTTCCCTGGTAAAACAATTTCATAATGCCCATTACGAAGACGAATTGTGGATTCCATAATATTCACCGCACGTATATCTTCTTGAAACATTTCTACCTTGTTGTTGTATGAAGCATCATTGAATTCAGCACAGTAGAACTTCTTAAACTGTTCACTCAGCCCATGATCGGATTGAATGTAATAATTGAAGTGTTTGGTCCATTTGTTTCTCCCAAGAGGACCATTTATTGTCCATCCAAAGATAGTTCTCACAGCATATGGACCCTTACCCTTGCACTCTCTAACTACTTTAGTCTCCAACGCTTTAGGTACATCATTTCCAACGATGATGCCAATAGAGGATTGATGTTTGTCAGAGTAACACCCTTAAGATGTGGTTACCGATCGACGTCTGCTTGCGTTGGAATGCTAGACTCGTCGACTGGAAGCTTTCCTGTAGAAAACAACGTATGAAGCTCAATTATGTTTATTTCCTTTAAATCAAACACTTCTAATTTAACAACGTGACATTCTGTTAAAGTGTTTTCATTCCTTAAGGTAGTGAGCGAAACAATAGTTTTCTTTCCAGAATTACAAAGCTCTTCTAGCCATTCGTTTGTGCAAAATGTAGTGTTCGATCAAGCATCAAGAAAGGCATATTTTTTAATTGTCTCCCGCAAATCTCTACATTTGACTTTAACTGGCACTATCTCCAACCCAGTCGAGGTGATTCCGGCTTCATTGGGCTGGCGTCGACAAACATCAACGCTGACATAACCGTTGCTGTTGATTATCGTCTGGAGACCTTTACTGGCTCCATCCGATGCCTCATGCAATGAACAGCTCTCCACAGCAAAGTTCTCAACTATAGGATGCAAAAATGTCGAATGCTTCTCTTGACATCACAAAACCTTGCTAAAGCTCTCCTTTGGGCAAGTTCTAGCAATATGACCCTGTCTGATGATGTCTTGAGAGTCAAGACGAAACGTTACACTTTTAAATAAATATTTCTTCTTATGCATTAAATGGCTCTTTTAAAAGCACTTTGCAGGGCTTTGATATTTATATTTAAACTTCGCTTTCCGCCCGGTATATCCCTGGTCACAATATGACCTTGTAGGAAACAATTTTCGCAGAGACCCTTTTTTCGCACTATTCTTTTTCTGTTCTCAACAGTTTCTTCCTTGAACATATCACATCGAGATAACCAATGATTACCACGACACATTGGACATTTAAGAAAACTTCCACCTCCAATTTCGAGTTTAACTATATTTATCATTCATCATTTCCAGCGTCCTTTCTAATTGTTCCGAAGGCATACTTACCTCGAGGAAATTCAGGATCTTGAGCAATTCTAATATTTCAAACATTATTAATCCTGCCGAAAATAGGATGATTTAAAAATGTCGCTTTCACCTCGACAAATCTTGAGATGTCTTCGAAAGTTACCTCTCTTTCCATAATACTTGTTATATTGTCTGCTATGTCACACCATTTTTGTCTGATAGAATAAGGTAATTTACGGATAATATTTCGCAAACTACCCAAATTGTCAAGTTTGTTGAGATAACCTATTTCTTTAAGTGTGTTTTTGCAGCTGATAAGCAATACAGAGAATATTCGGAGTGCTTCGCCATCTTCAGCTCTGATTAGGGGTCTCTCCATTATTCGTTGTAAGTAGGCCGTAGCTATTCTACAATTTTGACCATAACGCTCCTTAAAAAGTTTCCTTGCGACCAGATATCCTTCTTCGGGGACCATAGTGCTCTTTCAAAAGTTTCCTTGCGACCAGATATCCATCTTCGGGGACCATAGTGCTCCTTCAAAAGTTTCCTTGCGAACAGATATCCTTTTTTAGGAACCATTGACAAGCAACTTCGCACAAGTTCCTGAAACTCACCAGATGTGTATTGAACTAAATAATACAAACACGTATTACTTCTAGTTTTTTTCGCTTCAATAAGATTTTCAAACGATCGTACAAAATGACAATATTCGACAGGATTTCCACCAATTGTTGGTACTTGAGCGTTAGGTAGTGACATTGTGGTTGAACCACGTGATCTAACACGGCTCTTCTCTCTGACGTTACTAATCAAGTCACTTGGTTTATCTTGACTTCTGACATCGATGGTTGTTTTGTAAACTCTCGCAGCCATTTGTTTAAGGTCCTTTGAAAATTTTCAATTCTTTGTTGTTCAATTTGAAGGTATTTGTTTGAGTCTTGGTGATCATAATCATCTTCTATTGTAGCATGATGACGCTCGTGGGCGTTGTAAAATCTATTTACAACTTCGTTCAATTCTTGTGCATTAATATTTGCTTCGCTCAAGTTTGGAAACTTCTATTTGATTAGGTTAACTCCTTCATCTTTTTTGTAACTGCGCCTTTTGCAGCAGATTGTTTTCTTCGCAGTTGTTCAGATGTTTCGAGAGTTGAAGGTTTTTCTTCCCTGGTGAGAGCTGGGGTGGTTTGCTTTGTTTGTTCATTACTCATTACGCTTTTCAGGCTCAACCATTCTCTGCCAAGTTTCTGATATTTTGAGACGCGCATTACTTTATTACGTACGGTTCAACTAAACAATTACAAATAATTCTAACAAATGCATAAAAAAGAAGGAATAAATTCATCTAACTACTTACAGAATTTACAGCGTTACTAGGCAGAGAAGTTCATTTGATCTTATTCAGACGACAGTTTGATGCCAAATGTCCGTCATCTCCCATCTGTCATCAGAACCGGAAACGTTTTGAATCCAAATCAATGTACGTTAATATATTTCACAAACACCAAGATATGACACATGTAGCCAATGTTGCGATCGCTCAGCGTATTTAACGGAATAAATTTCGGTAAATATTTATTAAACATTGCCAGTATCGATAACAATTATTGTCATCAATGTAGAAACACAGACAACACACGTATTTGTACTTCTCCTGGCTCTAGGTACACTGCCAACCGAGATTATGAAGGCCTATGTTCTGTTTGTTTCACCAAATTACATACAAAATTTTAAGAGGGGTCAGTTATGGTAGCCCTATGAGGCAAGAATCAACATCGAATGTGGAGCAGTCAAGACAAGATGTCTGACTAAAGAATGTTAATACTTTGGCTTATCAGAGAATGATAACTTGTGTTCACAACGTTATGCAAAGGCATTGCAACTTGAGTATGACTTAGAGTCTGAAAATGAATTTGAAATGATATTACAAATTTATCACGAACTATTGAATTACAAAGATTTTACTTTCTGGGGTGCAGATTAACATGTCGCGACTCGCGATACACTTTTGATGACTCGCAGCGTAATAAATGTGGTAAATAGCAAAATCTACGACACACAAATCTCCATAACTTAACTCTTTAAAATAAATTTCGACTGCCTGTTTAACTTTGTATACCCCTAAGATTTTCAAATACACAGTAATTCTGTACGTTGAGAAAGTTAAAATAATGCAACGCGTTTGTTATTACATATACAAACCGGTTTGATAACAAATGGCTTAATAAGCCACACACAAAACAAGTATTTACTATGCTAAATTGCTGTCGTTTACATGATGACTAAACGGAAAGAAGTGTAAACAAAATCATAGGAACTATAACATTGCAAGTGCCGAGCATTAAATTCCTTTCAAAGACGTTTATGTCTTATTGGGAGTCGATTACAGCTGAATCATGCAAAAGTTAAACGTCGGCTGATTTCAATGGTTGTAGTTTTGATACACCTAAGATCGTTTACTTAAACTTTTACCTGCTTATCGTAGCTCTCAAGATCATGGTTACACTTCATACAATTTGGAGCACAGAGGTGTAAATATATGCAACTTCCTATCAGTTGTGCTGGGAATAATAAATTTAGAAGTGGACTATAAAAGAACATTTCCATCTTCCTCTTCTAAATTACGACATATCACAGCCAACACTTCTCGACGGACATTCACGGGGAGTACAAGCAAAGAAGCATCCAAGTGACATTAGAGCATATAAGTGACAACCCATATTTTAAAACAAGGACAAACAAAATTACACCAACATTGAGATCATTGCCCACTTTCAATTTAATAGAATGAATGTCATTTAATGTCCTCGAACCCCCACACATTCTTGACGTAGTTCGTCGTTTCCATCTTTTCGTAAATCGTCAACCGCAATTTATTGAGAGGAAGATGGGCAATTTCTACGTCTACACTTCCACATATTTTCGGCTTTTCCAAGTCAGAAATGGGAAATATGTATTATTATCAGCGATTATTATGCAATGTTGGTGCAATCTCGATCGTGATTGGCTGACGTAATTCTTTATGTGAAAATCACAGAATAGATCATAGATATAGTAGGACTAGATTGCCAACGAGTGTGACGTAATATAAGACTTATTAAGACGGCAGCGTGACATTCATGATAAATCCAAGATGGCGCGGGAACCGGGCAAAAAACTTAGGGCTTGTATTAGGCAATTGTTGTTTTTTGCAGTTTACTTCGTTTCAGTGTTTTCAAACTCCTCCAATCAAGTTTTATTGGAAACAAAGCGTTATTAATAATGTTTTGAAGCCATATTGGACAATTATTATTGGAATACGTGCGAAGATGTCGCTTGCGAAGTGATGTGTAAATTGGTCGTTTGGTTGTCTCGAGGCGTTTGTCCACCAAAATAAACGGATTTCGTCTGCTTTACCTCCCATACTGGTTCGTCCACGTTGAAATACATCATATTGAATACATACAAAAAGATGGGAAAATTAATCTTCATATTTTTTACATAAATTTCACTTCAAGATGCTATTCGTTCTTTCAATCTTCAAATATGTGTTGACACTGAACTGAGTCTTAATCGTTTCCAAAAAGGATGAGTTTTGTCAGCTTTTGCCGCATACAGAACCGCCACTCGACGTCGGAACCTTTGATGTTCGTGTCCCCAGCATCCGGGCAACTTCACACGGCGGCCATGTTTCCAGCCAGATAAATGCAGCCAGATCGCAATATAATATATAGTTCTACGGATGGGTTTTGGCAAATAAACCCAAATATTTCTATAGATTGGCCATTTTTTTAATATTTTTTTGTGTGGATACAGTTAACACATCAAGCTCTCAACAATTTATCATTAATTCGACGTCCGTTTTGATAAATGAGGGTTTATTCGGAATATTTACAAAGTAGATATGTATCTGACGAGATGCGTACTCGGTATATGGTTTGTCGTCAGTTTTAATTTTATCATATAAGAATTCTGCAGAGAAGCTTGAAGACATTTGTTCTAACATTTGAAATCTCGGTCGTGGCTGAAACAAGTGACAAATCAAATTATCCTCCAGTTAAGTTTATATATTGCAAACAACTTTTGGCAGGACATTCGAATCACCAAAATTGTCTACCCAGGTGTTTTAAACTATCAGAAGCGATGCTGCATGGCCACTATGAAAGTCATCTGATGCCAAAATATTTTGTATTCATCACAGTTGTGACTTGTGAAGCTTGAATGACTTTTTGAGCAAGTTGGAACATAAGCAGCAACATGTTGGCCTCCACCAATAAAGTGCTTGAATAGCAATTTGTAAAACATATACTGCCATATGGTCCACATGACTTAACTTTGTTATTTCTGCCTTTTTAAATTCAATCAGGAGATTATTTATATATTTGACATGGATGCTCATTTATGATGTGAGAAGTGAACATAAAAAAGCTTCCTGAATGCTTTTGTGAATTGGATTGGTGTTGGCTTGGCACAGTTTCCCCTGTCAAATGTTTTAAAAAAGTTTTCTGGTGTATCTGTGTTTCACCTTTTGGTAAACATTTTACTGTGTAAAGTATTACGATTTAAATAATGGCATTAAGAGTAACTATAACTGGTTTTTGTCAGAATAAGTTCTGTTTGTGACATGATTACTTACAATAAAAATTTTAATTTACTGAATGAAGATTATGGATTTTAGCAAAAATTAAATTTTCGAGCCCTTTGTTGCAATAATTTCTCTCTGCTGGTTGATCAATGCGGTGAATCAAACATAATTCTAATCATTTTTCACATACAATTGTTGGTCACAACTCACAAGTGAAGTTTAACCAAAGAGGTAAGCTGTGGGAGCTTGACAATATGTTTGACATAATGGTAAAGTTGTTAATTTAATTGTAACAATTTATCAATAACTTCATTCTTTAAAAAATTGTTATTTCATAACAATTGAAGGACTGTTTTTGATGTTGTTGACTGACGTCAACAACGACTGACGTCGTTAAACAGTCCTTCTCAGGACTTTATTAACCTGGACGATCATCATTTACAAACATATAACGATACTCCCGGGTTCAAACCATTTACTGTAATTTCATATATTGTTTATTAAAAATAAGACAACAAAAAACATCTTTATTTGTAAGTTAATACAAATTTGACAGACATGATAGCCACAGGAACTCAATATACAATTACAAATAAAAACTTTCAATTACAATTATGCAGACAAGCTACATTGCAAATAAAAAGCCCCGATTCAAGAATCAAATATAAATTAGTTTAGTCCAAATTTTATACTAATAACGTCTTCATCTGAAGAACGTTCTTTACGCACAGTCGGTCGTTTTATCGCTTCTATCAAATCCGTTGATCATTCTAATAGGAAACTCTTTACTAGAAAATACAGAAATGGAATCACACTAAATATATTTATTACTTTTGTCCTAAATTATAAATTCTTAGGGCAACTGCCGTTCAATATAAGAGACGTTCTAAACATGGATCTCGTATACAATTCAAGGCAAGAAACTATAAAACCCGTAAAATTATATTTGAAGAACGTATTTTACAACAAAACTGTTTCTCACCTCATATGCTTGGTATCCTATCCGATGGCATTGAAAATTTTGTCCATAAGTGAATTTAAATTCGTCAAATTTTCGAAAAACAACTCTTCATAATATTAATCTATATACATTCTGGCCAGTTTATCTGGCTGGAGTAATGGCGGACGCAAAAGATGCGCACTTAAGAACTGGGTACAAGTAGGGGACAGACTTTTCGCTGAGTGGCGGTTCTGTATGTATCTATTCTGTGGTGAAAATGTAAACAAAAAAGCTATTTACCACGCAATGTATCGCGCTTTGCAAATCGCGACATGTTAATTTGCACCCCAGAAAGTAAACTCTTTTTAATGTTGGTACTTCCTCAATAGTTCGTGGTAAATTTGTTATAGCATCATAAACTTGAGCACGTTATATTCTGCAACTTTTCATAGTCTGAAGGGTTTATTCCAAGTGTAAAGTACAGTAGGTAAAATTAGACAGATTGTAATCATCAGCCTCAACGTACGTTAATATATTTCGCAAGCACCAAGATAAGACACATGTAGCCAATATGAACATAATAGCCCAACATAAGACTTTTAAAAAAGCCATCACAATAATAAAATAGAGAAGGATTTATTAATAACGTTTTTATTTCTTCTTGTAACAATTTGTAACAATTTTGTTGTAAAAGTCTTATGTTGGGCTATTTTTATATTGAAAATTCGCTTTCCGCCTGGCAAATCTCTGGCCACGATTTTAAATAAACGCTACAATAACGAAGCACTCGAAGCGTTCAGGAAATTCCAGCGTCTTGAACTCAAGCTTGGAAAAGCCAAACTCGACCTAGAGTTCCTTATTTTGTGTAAGAAGCGCTCGATAATACCAAGATTCCTATGGTTTAAGGTTGCTAATCGTAGATTGCGATCCTCTAGCGCCTATTGACAATGTCAACACAAATTGTTACAAGAAGA